AAATGCGTGTTCTCAAATGGACATTCACTACACCACGTGAAGAGTTTACGGATCTGCTTCGCGATCAGATGACCACAGCCAATGTGAACAAGGCATTGATGGCCAACATGTTTCACGACGACTTTCGGTATGTTAGCTCGGACCACGTCCCTATTCCAAATCTAAGTCCTACCGATCAGACCCCGAGTTCAATCGTAAAGGAAAACAAAAGTTGATTTACATTAAATCAAGTACGCAAAATAAGACAACCCAACAATTTTAAATTACCATTTCGGAGACCAAATTCTCTGTTGCTTGTATCCCAATTTGAATAATATATCTTGTGCTACTTTTATATGTCAATACTTTTTATACTGCAATTTAAATTTTAAATGATAATGGTGGTACAACATGCACAATAAAATATCATATTTTCAAACAGTTGTGCCATAATATATTATTTTAAATATTGTAGTTTGTATTAGTCTCCAAAAATAATTGAATTGAAAACTTAACGTTCAATGGAGTAACTAAAATGTTTGGGAAATTGTCTTAATTTAAAAATCAATATCCATAATTATGAACTTTATAGAAATACTGTATTTATTATTATTACTAGTATTGCTAATTGAAAAACATTTGTCCATTGCAGTTATCACTTGAAAGTCATTGAACAGTTGAGCGAGGACTTGCCAAATAACAGGAAAGCGTTGATTTGCAATCTTGATTTAATACTCAAGTGGTTAACGTTACGCTTCTATGATACGAACCCTTCTGTGCTCATTAAGGGTCTCGAGTATCTAGCACAAGTGTTCCAGATGCTGGTCGAAATGGAGTATATGATGGCTGAAAATGAGGGCAGCAGCTTTGTGCCTCATCTGCTATTGAAGGTGACCATATTTATATCGCAGTATGTGGCAACATTCCAATTTCTAACTTGTCATATATCTTCACAGATTGGTGACCCAAAAGACGCTGTTCGAAACGGCGTGCGTCGTGTGCTTCGACAAATAAACCTGTTATATCCCTTTACCAAGGTTTTCTCGTATGTGATGGAAGGACTTAAATCGAAAAATGCACGTCAGCGCACCGAATGCCTCGACGAGCTAACCTTCCTCATCGAGAACTATGGACTAGGAATTTGTCAGCCGTCGCAGCAGGTGGCGCTGAAGGAAATAGCGCGCCAAATTTCTGATCGTGACAATTCAGTGCGCAATGCGGCGCTTAACTGCATTGTAATGGCATATTTCCTAGCGGGCGAAAAAATTTACAAACTGATTGGTCAGCTCAATGAGAAGGATCTCTCAATGCTTGACGAGCGTATCAAGCGAGCCAAAAAGACAAGAAAACCAGCTGTACCAGCAGAGATGCCGCCCGGTCTGAAGCCACCAACGCAGGTAGTGCAGCAAGACAGCATAGAGATTGAGGATGCTGTAGGCAATGGCTCTGAAGAGCTGCCGCCACCCGAAGAGGAGGGGTAAGTCAGCATATTAAGAGGGGCAAAGAAACAGCAATCAAGCACTTACTAAAACGCAGCTAGTACATATTGTTTACAGCTTTCCAGGAATGGGAATTCTAAATTGGAGTATATCAAAATTCTTTTTGCTAATAAAGCGTGTCTATCAAAAGCTTTTTATTTCCACTCAATGAGCGAAAGGTTTTATTAAAGCTAAATTAATTTTGGAACGTATTAATCTCAAATTCAATATCCCAAATTAATAATTAATAAATATAAAATCAATAGGTGATTAAACATATCTTTTAATTTGAAACAATTTTGATGTCTGTAATTGGAAAATGTAGGATGTAAATTTAAAGATGGCAAATATTGCTCTTTCGTTCGATATTTTCCAATTTCCATTCCTGGTTATTCTTCTTATAATCCATTTTATGTTCACTTGTTTTTATTTGTATGATTTTGCTTATTTTCTTTTCCATTAATTTTGCGAGCTAGCCGCCAGCAGCCAGAGTTTAATGAGTGTGGTCAAAGCAACAGGTTGGCGGAGCGGAGTGCCACAAGCGCTAAAACCATCTTACATTCGCTGCATCGACAGGCGTAAAGTGGCGTTTCTTTCTATATGTCTATTTATATATGTACAAATTCACCGTTTGTTTTGCTTTACACGTTGTTTTGTTTATTGTGTTATTTTGTGGGATTGTGCTCTGTTCATTTTGCTCAGTTACATTTGCTTTTGTTGTATCGATGTTTCAAACTAGTATTCCATTTGCACTCATATTATTATATACAATATCTGTTCAAGTATTGTTCGTGCTGGGCAGATAAATGTCCGAAAAATTTAAAGCTAAATCTAAATTATTTTTTACTCCACACAGTACATTTGATCAAGCACCGTCTGCACAAGTGCAACAGCTGCAACAGCAATTGCAACTACATCAGCAGCAGGTTGCACAACAGAGGACAACTGGTCCATTCGGGTTGGATCCCCAGGTGATGGCCGAAATCGAGAAAGATTGGGTGCGTGTTGATCAAATGGTATTCAAGGAGCTACCTACAGTGGACATATCGCTGCTTTACGAGCCAATTAAAGTTATTCCTACACGCGACGGTTTCCAGTATCCACAGGAAAAATTCGATCGACTCATTGCGCGCTCGCGTCACATACAACAAAATTTAACCACATCGCCGCAGTCGAATCCTACTATGTCTAGCGGCATTTCCCCCTATCGCAGTCCCCTGCGAATGCAGCCACACTTAACAAGCCAACCCCATTTGGAAAGCAATATACCCAAGTAAGATTTAAATTAGTTCGCTTCTGGAAACCTCATTAATACTTTGTTACATTCAGTCTGGCCGAAATGCTGCCCAAGCACGACCCGAAGTTAGTGAAAATTATAAAAGCAGTCAGCAGCACGGACACGCTTGAGGCCCGTGCAGCCATAAATGAGCTAACCGAGATTATTGAGGCTCCCGAAAAACAGGCCGTACTGCGCGATTACGAGGAAATATTTATACAAAATGTGCTGGCACAGTTGAAGGTGAGACGTTTTCTCGCTTTAAGTAAATAGTCAAAATTTTAAACATGTCTTACTGTTATGTCTATAGAATCTCTCGCAGATGCCTATAGCACAGGCTCAGGTTGTGTATCAACCGCTGCTGTCCATTTTGTACACTTTCTTCAATGCTAACATTCTCGGCAAAACTCTAAGTATTGCCTGTATTAAGAATCTGATGTCTGCACTGCTCCATCTGCTGGCTGATCAAAAACTAAACAGCGGAGATGATTGTCAATACAACAAAGTCATCAATGGTATTTGTCTTAAAGTGCTAGACAAAGTCAACTTTACAAATATCTATTGGTATGTAAAACATGACACTAATATAAAACAAATAAATATATATTTTTTTTTTTTACCAATTCCCTGCAGCGCCTTAATACGTTTGTTGAGGGAGACCTGCCCCGTAGCAGGTTTGCCCAAATTCACCGATTTGCTGATGAAATGCATATGGCGTAATATTAAAATGCTACCGGAACGAACCAATGAGCTCAACTATGATGCAGTCATCTTGGAAGTTCATGAATTTATGCTGGCACTGCCTAGCACCTGGTGGCAAAATCGTCCATCGGATACGCCGCTGCGCACCGTGAAGACGATCATACACAACATGGCCAAGGTGAAGGGCAACGGCATATTACAGCATCTGAATCAGATACCTACACATTCAGAGTTGCACACGTACTTGATACGTATATTAAAGGTATACAATTGAATCTATAGCTATATAATAGAAAAGTTTTTATTGAAAATGTTTTATTTAGAATTTCCAAAAAGATGGGACAGTGTCGGGTGGTGCTGGTGTCTCGCCGCAGCGTCAACAGTACCATTCTAAGGATGTTGATGGAAAGCGCATATCGCATCAGACCCACGATACAGTATCGCAAATTTTTAAGCTGATCTCAGACAAGGATACCAAGCAACAAGGTCTGCAGAAGCTTTTTGACTTTAAGGTACGTTCGGATATGCGCTTGGTCAGAATTCATACTAACTTTACTTTTGAACTGTAGCAGCAAAATCCTGACATTGATCTGAGCACTTTTTTGCAAGGAGCTAGCGTCACTTTTCACAGGTACATTGAAGAAGGGCTGGCTGAAATTGAACGTAATCAGAATGCGGGCACACAAGCGCCTGATAATCGTACAGGTGAGTTGAAAATCCACAAATAACACACAACAAAATCCTTATCTTAGCCACTCGCACCTCTTTACTAACATAAATAAATTGGATCAATCGGCAGCTTCTACACGTTCTTATCTCACAGATGTCAACTATCAGAATGCATCGCATGATCCGGACTATTGGATGGCCCGTTTGCAGAACTTGATGTCCGCGCGTCAAAACGGCGACAATGGCTCCAATATGCTTGACAATCGGGTAGCCGATGAGAATCTCTGCTTGAACTCGATGAACTCACAGAAAGTGTCACTAATCAGACAGGAGGTGGGTGTCACAAGAAATCCCTAATCCCATTTCCCATGTAAAATCTTGTGGCGTATGTCTCATGCATTATATTTCTTTTCCAGAAACCTGAATTGTCGCCCAATCGCCTCCAGCACATACAGGCCAAACTGGCGCAGATTAAAAAGGAGAATCACGCCCAATAAGTGTGAAGGAGAGACCCGTTATACTCTTTAGTTAGCAGTTTATAGCTGTTCTGCTATGGATCATATACATTTATATTAAATATTATTGCCGATCAGCAACGAGATAAGCTGTCTAGCACGTACTGCGTCAGCTTTCACCACATTAACAATTTATTATTTAACATAAATATGTATGCTTATAGATTCTCGGTATAATCATAAAGTTTAGTAACAAGTCAAAGCGAAACTTAAGTCAAGTTAACAACAGCTACTACAGTAACAATAACAGCATACTACACTAAGCCTACTACAATTATTTACTACTAATATGTATTGCAAAAGCAAATTATCTATGTATTAGCACTGAGTTATGTATTTGATATATGTATTCGAATTTCGATTGCCTGAGTTGAGATTACAATTTTAATATGTTCCATTTGTCGTTTGTTAAGTTAGTTCCTTGCATATTTTACGATCATTCTATAAAAATGCGTTAAAATTTAAAGTTAAATCAATTACCACATGTTATGTATTAATAAAAGAGAACTGGTTTTTCCTCCTAAATAAATTATGTATAAACCTTGTTATGCAGCTCCCGGCTAAAATAGGCCAACAAAGGCAGAAACTGTCAGTGCGAGATAAATAACTAATTTTTAAACATTGAAAATATACTGCACGCAAGCTTATAATATGATGATGAATAATCTACTATGTTGCAGTTACGTTTTGCCTTAATAATTATTTAGATTAAGCCCTGTCCAGTTTAACATTCACACACCTTCATATTCACGAATTTTTTGTAACATGCCCATTATTTATGCAAATCAACAATAAATGTTATATTTATACTTCATCTAATCCGCTACAGGCACTATGTCCTCCGTTATTTCAGTTAGCTCCTCATCATCTCCGTCACCCTCGTCATTCTTCGGCTTGCCATAGCGCGAGGAAATCGTAGCCACTCTGATGGCCGCCTTGAAGCCTACGCGTGCCTTCATCTTGGCCAGTTTGGCCTTCCAGTTTTCGTCGCGAGATGGCAACGCACTTAAGTACTCAAACATTTCCTCGTTTTTGGGATCGACTATGGCCAGCACCGACATGCAGCCATCGACAGTGCCCAGCACAATGGCGCGCCCATCCTTGCTGCTCTTGATGGCTGTCAACTCGGCTTGTAGCCTGTAGTTGGCAATCATCTCAGTGTCGGCGGTGCGAAATACACGAATGGTCTTCCTGCCGCTGTGGTAATACGCCACATACTCGTCATTCTCTGTGAATATGCAAATGACTGAGAAGACGCCCTCAGCTACCTTTGGTATAAAGGTCTTCACTGTGGTGCCCTTGCGCAGCTCCAGCATCTCCAAGCCTCCCCTCGTCGGGGCATACAGCCCACATTTTCCGTCACGAGTGAGGCTGCCACCCCACTTGGCGATGGAGCGCACATGTTTCTTGGTCTTGATGTCCATAATGCTGCCCTTCTCGCTGCTGATCACAGCGACCTGGTTAGCCTTGTGAGGCATGGGCACCAACGAGAACACCTCCTGCAATAGCAATAATTATTGAAGTATCGTAGAGGTGGATAAACAGTTGATTCACCCACCTTGATGGCGCAGCCTTTGAGCAATATTTTTGATACGAAAGAGCCATTCGTTGCGCTATAAACACCCAGGCAATCCTTGTTAGATTTGTCCAAAGTAACCACGATTATATAGGCCTTGTCAGCTGTGATAACTGACTGGCGAAAGGGCATGCCCGTCACCATGCGCATGTGAAAATCAAAGCGAAATAGAATTGTGCCCTCTGGAAGATACGAAATATGTTTTTCAGTTAACTATTTTTTTCAATCAGATAGCCATGCTCACCTGGAATCGATCGAACTGTTGTTATGGCCGTCAGGCGATTCGTTTCATCCGATCCGGTTAGAATGTCTCTTTGATTAATGTTGGGCACCGACACGGTGAGCACCTTGTAGCCATAGTCCATGAGCGTTATCTGCTGAATGCCCGGCTGATCGTCGCGATAAACGACCTGCTCGGACACGCGGTTCCAGATCAAAAACTTGCCCGTTTCCGAAGAGATGATGTACCGTCCGTCTGGAGTGATTTCAGCATGCGTTACAATGGCGCCCAATGGACTGTCCGCCAGTTTGGCAAGTAGGCGACCAGAGCGGGTCTCCCACACGCCAACGCAGCTGCGTGTGACCGTCACAGCTATGTCCACCTCGGAGAGACTGATGTCGTCTATTTGCAGCTCATGACGGTCAATGACATGGACCTTTTCAAATATATTGTTGATATTCCACACCTTGACCGAGCGATCTATGGATGAAGTCACCAAATTGTTCCAGTTGCCAATGGTCAGCGGCTCCAGTTGTATGATTCGTCCAAAATGAGCATCCAACACTTTGGCCAGCTGGCCGTTGTGGAGATACCAGACGTAGAGATTCTTACGCACCCCAGCCACCGCATAGTCTAGCTTGGAGCTGACCATTATGGAATTCGATTGCATGATGCGAGTAGTGATATTCCTAACACCGTGCGGCAGGGCCAGATACATTGCGCCCTCGCAAATGGGAGCTCGCTCACAGTCCTTCTCATTGCGGCCAAAGTCCCAGATGACAAAGCCCAAGCCAGCGGTGCCAAGCAGCATGCGATCCTGCTGATGTTGATCCAAGCGCAGCTGCAGCAGCATTTCCTTCTCATCGTTCTCATAGCGCGGCAGGTGCTCCACAAAAGTCCAGTGTATCTCGCCGGTTTCCTTATTCTCGATGAAGTCGTAAACTGATACTTGGAAATTATCCTTGTTGGCACAGCCATAGGCGCGCGTGCGGCCCTTGTTCATGACCAAGGCGCTAAAGAAGTGCACTGAATTGGAGTAATTGGATGTGCGACACGAGTCCAAGCGCAAACGAATTTCATTTATTGAGCCCGACCAAAAGATAACATTATAGTCGAGTGGGGTGAAGAATTCCATTGCTGCAAGAGAAAGATTAGGAACAAGTATATTCAGCGTTCAATGCAGAAGCAGTGGTATTTGTGGTATTTACACAATATCTCCCAATCCGTATTATCGCCCGGCACTTCAAAGATTTCGACCAAATTGCCACGCATGTCGAATTTGGCCCAGCGCAGCTTGCAAATAATGAATAAACTGAAAATCAATGAATTGAGGAGCTCAAACAGTCATATTTCAAGGACCTACTTCTGATTAAGCAGGTACAAGCCACTGACTGGTCCGTCGCCATCCTCGAATGGACTGTTGATCACCACAAACTCGCTGGATAGCATGTTCAGCAGCACCGTTTGGTTATTGTTCGAGTAGGCAGCCGCCCACTTGTTGTCCGGGCTAAGGACCAGCTGCTGCATGATGCCTTCAATGCCGGGATTCACGTCACGCGTCAGATCCGATGTGGACAAATCGAAGGTGATGAAGTGCGTCGATATGGAGACCATGTAACGCATATCGCTGGTCAAACAAAATGCAAATACGGCAAACTGATGACCTTCCAGCGAGTACTGTTAAAGAGACTCATGTGATTCAGGAACGCTCAGAATGTATTCGCTGTGCTTACCTTGAGGGGTCCGCCGGGGGTGTGCAGGCAATGATTGACCGGAATTAAGGCACAGTCCTTGGGTCCGGAGCGATCGCAGGCTCGTAGCAACATTTTGATATTTGGATTGCCGCCAATCTCTGGCAGCAGGCGACCAATTAACTGCGGCGCCAGCATATTGGGATAAATGGCCAGGATAGCACCGCCCAAGCGCAATGCGTCCGCCACCAGCATCAGCTCACGCTTCGACTCCTTGTCGTCTGTGTTGGTCGAGGCATCTTCAAAGTCGGCCAGCACCGACTGCAGCGGACAGCTCGAAAGCTTCGCATGCAGCCATTCATAGTTGAAGAGCACGTGCTCGAACAGATCCTTAAACCTTCGCGAGCGCACAAAATGAAAAGGCAGCTCACCAAACTGTAGAGTTTCACTTTACGTTAAGCAAGGATTGGTATTGAGTAGCTCATTCTCTTTACTTACCTTGCGCAAATTGTAGCGCTTGGAGAGACCATCCTTGCTGGTGAAGACCAGCGGTTGTATAGGAACCTTACGATCGGCTGACCCTTCCTTGTCAGCTAAGCCAAAACGATGCCTCTGTATCTCCGTGAATTTGAACGGCTTGGGTATACCGCCGCCCCAAATGCCCAAATAATAATCTGCAATCATTGAGTGAAAATATATGGCCATATTCATGTTCTTAAAGTAACGCTCCTTGGCTGTGTCCTTGAATTGTCTGTGGTACCTGTAGGAATTATGATTCGATTGCTATTATTAAGCCCATTTTCAAGCTATCTGACTTCGTTGCTTTAATACCAGTTCATGACATTGACGCCATCGGCTTCCCGTTCACTCAGGTAGTTCGGCAAATCGTTTCTGATGCGCGTCCACAGCAGCGGGGGTATGCGACGCACTGGCGGCATATGATACTGGTAGACATCGTCCAAGACTTTGTCGTCCAAAGAGATTAAGTCCTCGAGTTCGCTCTCGGATAGACCCGACTTGGAAGCGGTTATATAGGCCAGAGCGTGAAAGACCAGAATGCGACCATGCTGCTTTTCCACGCGCTCAAAGAGCAACATGATTGAGTCCATCACCGTGTTGGCCAGATGGGTCTCCTGCGGACGCGTATAACTGCGCCATCGGCAAATCTCGGCAAAAACCAGTTTCACAAATATGGGCAGGGAGCATTTGCTAATTGCATTAGCCACCAAACGCCACTGGTAGTTGTTAAGATCGCGACACGCGGTCTTCATCCACATTTTGATCACGTTCATGGCCAGGTCCTCGCCCAGTGCAGTCACCTCTATGAAGTTCTCCTCCACGTCAATCATCTTGCACAGCACATGGTACTCATGGGAGACAGTCGGATTGGCGGGCTCATTAGCACACGATATGATAATCTGTAATAGCAATCCCAATGGCATTTACACAAAACGGTGCAGATAGGGGCGATATATATGATACTTCAGATATGCCTCATGCAGAACGGCATTTCGTTGGGGAAATGGTTTTGGGTGAGGGTGCCAAAAGTAATTTATTTGCGATTGATATTGTTTAGCACGCACATGTCAAGCAATCGAAAAAACTTACAGCGCATAGGAAAAAATAATGATAGGTTTGTTAATCTATGTTGTAGTATAAACATACATACATATGTATACCTGGGTACGGGCAGCATGCAATTTCCAAAACTCAAAACAGAAAAAATATTCTTTTAAATTGATTGATATTTTTCATGCAGTGCATACTAAGCAGGTCCTGACAAGAGGCCTGATAGGTCGGTCACCTATATAATAAATATGTCTATCACTCTTCGTTCAACTTTAATTATCTGTGCAGGAATACTTAAAATGTGATTTGTCAGCATGCAAATGTACGCGGTAAAAGATATTGGACCAACTTCCTTGAATTAATGAAAATTTTCGAATTTCTTTTCAGATTATATCTGAAAATGTGTGTGAAAAATTAGCTTAAATAATAATTGAATCATTTCACTTTGGTCATCTCTAATATTTTGTTTTCATGCTCTTAACAAAGTGTACAAAGTGAGAAAGATTAATCTAACAAGTTGTTTGTATTTACAGAAGGGCATGCACAATATGGTATATATGAATATAATGAGGTTCATGCATAGGAACCAGATTTTCAGTTGAGAGAACAACCGTTAATCCTGATCAAGTTCTCCCACTCACCTTGCAGTGGGCTGGCAAGCGTGTCGGTATCCAGGATACCTTATTTGAATCTTGGGTGCCCGTCAATTGATCAACTGAATCTAAGTATATAGTTAACGGCTGATTGGGGCTAGCGTAAGTTAGTAATTGCTTAAAATGTGCTGTTAGGGGTACAAGATCATCTGGTATATTCTCAAAGGGTAGCATATAGTTGTACGATATCTGCATTGTTCACATACATATGTATATGTATTCATATATATATATATATATAATAGGTTTTGGATAGAAACACGATATTGATAAATTTGTTGGCTGTAAATAATGGATTGATATCACCTGCTGGCATATTGATATGAGGGTAGCCGTCAAGGCGCTAGAGTCCGGAGTCGTGCCAAGGAAGCGGATGATATTGATGGGTCGCTTATCGGCGAACCATTCGCTGGCTACAAGAGAGGCGCTCTTGGCCAGCAATGAAGTTTTTCCACAACCTCCGTCGCCAAAAAGGACAAGTGGCTTATCTGAATCCCCCAGCATATAGCGCTTGATACGCTCGCAACTTTCTTCGCGGCCGTAAAAGATTTTCACCGAATTGTTACAAGCATGCAAATGCTGAAGGATCTCAGTTACTATCTGCCCCTGTGCACTGGAGTCTTCCTTGCGCATGGCCCTATCCACGAGCTTAACAACATTCTTATAGAAGTGCGAAATGAAATGATTCAAATACTCCTCATGCGTTTCTATGTCCAGGCCCTCGCGACCGATCCACTCCACAGTATATCTAAAAGTCGGAAATTATATAGTTATGATGATTCAATTTTATAATACTGTTATTTACTTTTGCGAATTGCTCGCCTCGATCTTAGCGGGTAGACGAGTGTCCCTCAAGTCACTCAACAATTTAGCGGACTCCGTGTCCAAGCTACGATTGATAATGTCCACAAAGAGCGAGGCCTTCTTCAGGTTTTGCAGATTAATGTTGTTTATGTAGCGGACATAAGCCAGACAATGATTTTTGGTATTCTTCACGTTCAGAACTCCATTGATCACCTCACGTTCCGTGACTGAGTACATAATTTTGTAAGTGTATAAGTCAGTTGATCTTTGGCACTTCTAGTTTCACTTACCCGACATAAAATAGTTGTGAACATCGTCCTTTGACATCTTGTTGCTGGCGCCCAGCGAGGCGGCAGCCTTCCGTAACAGCTTTTGCATCTTGTTCAGCGTATCCCACCAGACGGCTTGATCCTCCGCCTGAAGCTTTGGAACGCGCTGTATAAGAGTCGAGTGTCAGTTAGAAAGATTGGGTATTAGTTTTATATAGCTTGATATTTACCTTGTTATTGAAAATTGATAAGAATAGATGATATGGGCTGCAACACCGAAATAGGCGGCACAGCATTGCTATCCTTCTTATACCATAGATCAAGCAGAGCACGATCCACGCCCATTGAGGTCAACTCTTCGCATATCATTTGCAGCTCCGAGGAGACTATGTATGTGGGTATCGGCCGATAGCCGTACTTTTGACCCAAAAACACAATAAAATTGGGTCCCATCGACAGGCGTTGGCAATTTTTGATCTCACGCATGCAGAGCTCTGTAGTCATATGATCGTCGGTGGCCTCATCTCGAACACCCCAACGCATGTCCACCACTTGAAACTCGAGCCCATGTTTCTCACGACAATAATCCTTGATTCTGGGATAGCACTTGGCCATCAGCGTATTACGTTCCATCGTAGTATCTGCAAGGGAATACATGCGATTATGTAATCGTAAGCCCACACACATGTTGTAGAATATTGCGTTTGTAACACACCCGTAAATGTGGAGCTCGTAAAGATACGCACAATTTTCGAGCTAACCGGCGGCAAGGACTCTAGCGAGCCCAAGAATATCGAGTCTATAGTACGATCATCCATGATTAGGATATTATTTGATCGGGTTTACTGTAATTGTGCGCTGCCGGAGCAGCTTTTTCTAGGACGTTCCGCTTACGTTGAAATCCAATCTATGTCTGCACCAAACGGAGACCCAGAAAGTTGTCTAAAGTTCACATTATATTGCTTGCCGCTGTTTGGTCGATATTACGGATTACGGACATGTGGCGCATTTGACAGTCGCCTAGTTGACGGGTTGTTTTGAGTTCAGCTTGACTGACACGCCAGGGTGTAGTCGACAGCCCAGTAGTAGGCAGTCCCGTAGCCACGGGCAACACCTGTTGCGACCCGGCGCCTGCTTTTGTTTTGATTGGTAAGCGGCTCAGTTTGGTTGTGTTTTGATTATTAGTCATATTTATAGCTGACATCTGCCTACGTTCTGATTGATATTCACCGTATTTCACTTAACTACAACAAGTGTTTTCAAGTACTGTCGACCCTCTGCTACCATGACGTCGACAGTTGCGTGCTTGCCACACATTTTCAGGCGATTGCGTTGGTGTTGTTGAAACTTTCAAAGTCGCTATTTAATGGGCCATCGGTTATGGGTGCGACTTTTCGAACCACCCCTTCCCCTCCACCTAGCTCCTTAGTTCGGGCACTGGGGCATGGGTAAGTCTTAAGTTTTCTTCTAGTTGTCAATCATTGGCCTCGACCTAGACACGTGCGTGCCTAGGCGAATGAATCAATGGCAATGCAGGGCATGTGGCTCCATTTAACTAAATTTCGAGTTCAATGTGTGCCATTTATAGCACTGGCATTTGACGAGTACAGCTAAATTTATAGGTCAAGCAATTGAAGGCAGGTTAGCCTGTTATCTGGTACCTGGTACCTGTTACAACAATTCAGATTATCGACACATGCAAATCCTTTTTTATACCATTTGACCATGCTCAATATTGGCTTACGAAAGAGTTTAATCTGCGTGCCGAATCAATTGAAAGTTTAAAAGATGTTTCTAGACTTATACTTATACATATATCCATAATCTGAACGTAGAACACGCTTATCCAAAGCTTTAAGTTAGCCCTAATATAGAATGTAGAGTGAATTACGCATTTCCAAAAAGTTTCTCACCCTTGGGCCCTTCATAAAATTCCCATTGCAAACACATATCGTGGGTTGTATAACAATATATTTATTTGTCATTTTCTGTTATTATTTATTTTTTTTTTTTTTTTTTTTAATGTTGATTTTTTTGAATAATTTAAGCTTGCAAAAGTTTCGTATTCCAATATATATGTTTCTTTATCTTTTATAGTTATATGAAGAATGTTGCTAATTGTTCTTGAATATCGGATGCTGTTGGCCGCATGTAAAATATTTACCATGGCCCTCTTGATAAAGTTATGTATGTGTATGTATTAAAAATTTAGTTCAGTAGAATTTAGTGTAGTAAAATGTTTATTATTTCGCTTATTATGCAATCTTGTCTATGATTTTTTTTTTTTTTTTTGAAACGCGTTTAACTAATTTCATTTAAGTTGGCTATAGGAAAATGGATTATATGCTATAGGTTTTTATTGTTTGTTAAATATATATCAAACGTTAGTTTCTTTTTCTTTTCGAGGAAGGATACAAATGTTAATCACTTTGCTTTTGTTTGATTATAGGGACTGTCTCGCAAATTAAATTAACTAAGATTCCATTTAAATGGAAACTGCATTACATATTTTTTTTATTATATTTATATGTAGCTATATTTCAATAATAAATAGTTAAACATATTGAACTAAACAGTAATCAAATAATAATAAAATAATAAAAAAAAAAACAAAACTAATTAATATTACAGAGAGGGAGAGAAAAAACACGTAGAATTGCAACTGCTACGCATAGAGACGATTTTAGGGTACTATTTAGCCAGCGGTTTCGAGTCCATTTTGCAGGATCTTTGCTGATGTTGCTGCTGCAGTTGTAGCTGTTGCAATCTTCTCTGCGGATGCTGAAGATTTCGTGTCCGGTTTTTGGTCCGGTATGGCTTTAGCCGCCAGTGCCAGTTTGTGAATATGTGGCGACGATGGCGACGTCACTGTTATTCTATAATAAGAAAAAGCTAATGGTTTACACGCACACACACACGCATACGCACGCACACCAAGAGAGGGAGGGCGTAGTTTGTTTTGGTTTTGGTTTTGGATGGACGTTTTGGAAGGCGGGATGTGTTTTGCATAAAAATATTTACAAAAGCATTTCGGTTTATGATTTTTGTGTGTCGTTTTTTATGATTTTGTTTTGGTTTAATCGCATTGATGGCGGGAGGCGGCGTTTGTTTTGTTTTGTTGTTTTCGGGTCAGTTTTGGATGTGGTTGGCATGGTTTGTAGTTTGTAGTTTGCATGTATGAAGTAATTATGTTAATTAGATAAGCCGGCAAAGAGCAACAGACCTTACAAGCTAAGTAGCTAGCTAGCTAGCTAACTAACTAGTGATAGTTATACATATGCATAAGTATTATCGAGCTAATGCGACTACGGTGCTTAGTGCTTGTGCTGCCTGCTGTTTGAGTTGACTTCGTTATCAGCGTACCTAGGGCTGTTGTCGTCCTTTTCGCAGATCAGCGTGCGTGTGGTGCTTGGTGGGATAATGGGTCCGTTTAATGACTGCTGTGAGCTCCGCTTTACATGCACGGGTCGCAGTCGCTCTTCCAAGTCGCTCACCGAGCCCACCGAGCTCATACTATCCTCGCTGCAAATTTATAAACGTTTTGGTTTATCTTCATATTATGCAAATCAAAACTTTTATTTACCTCTCGCTTAACTCCTCCTCGCCCTCCTCCTCCATGGCCTGCTGTAGATCCGCGATGCGTTGCAGCGCCAGGCGTAAATCGTTCTTCAATGCCAAGCCCTCGGATTCCATGACTTCCATTTTCTTTTCCAAGTCCTTGCGACGCGTCAACGACTCCTGCTCACGACTGGACAGCGCGTGATATTCCTCGCGTATGTCGCGCAAACTCTTTTGAGATTTTTTGAGCATTTCCTGTGATTGCATTTCACGCAGCTTTGATTGAGTTACTTCGTTCTGGAGTTTCTCCAACGCCTCCTTATGACGGCTCACTTGCACCTCAAGACGCGCGCGTGTCGCCTGCTCTAGTTCCAGGCGGGACTCCAGCTCTTTGGTGCGCATTTCCAAACTGAAACATATTTCCAACTTTAACTTTTTGTTTGAGGATTAGAATTGACTATCATACTGACCGCTTGGACATTACAGCTATGCTCGGATCACCCAAGTTCTCCACATTGTCCAATCGGTGCTGCAAATCAGCCACCTGCTCTTTGAGATTGTTACGCTCTGCTTCGAGTTCAGTCAGTTTAAACTCCGATTCGGATACGTTGACTTGCTCCGCGTTGAGCTGCTTGACGGTGGCGCTGTACTTCTTCATAAGCTCGCTCAGCTCCTCCTCGTTCTCCTCGATCTGCGCCTGCAGTTCAGCGCGATCGCGGTGTGCCGCATTGGCGCGCTCCTCGGCATCGTTGCGAGCTCTATGTGACTCCTCGAACATGGCCTGCACCTCGGCCAACTCAGCTTCGGCTGTCTGTCGCGCCTTCATGGCAAGTGTGCGAGCCGATTCCGCGTCCTCCAGCTGATTGCGCAGCTGTCGGATGAGCGTCTTGCCCGGAGTATCTGCCTTCTGTCGCTCCAATTGCGTCTGAGCATCCTTCAGCAATGCCTTGTACTTGCGCAAGTCGCGACGCAATTTTTGATTCAGTGCCTCTTCGGCATCACGATCGACACGATCGCGATCTTCCATGGATGACAGCCGTCGCTCTAGCTCGTGCTTTTCGCGCAGTAGCAATGTGCGCTCCTCGTGCTCCGTCTCCAACTGGCACTCAAGCGCCTTGATCTTCTTGTAGCCGTTGCCACGCACCTCCTCTAACTCTTCATCGCGCTGCTGAGACTCACGACGCGCCTCCTTCCGCATGGTCTCTAGGGTCATCTCAAGCCGCAGCTTGGCCTGCTCCAGCAGCTGTATTTGTCCAGCCATTTCGTCCAGCTCCTCCTCCTGCTCCTTAACACGACGTTCCATTTCGTTCTTAGAACGTCGGAGCTGGGCAAACTCCTCCTCGGTGCCGCCACCAAAGGTCATCTCCTCTAGCTCACGCTGCAAGGACGCCAATTTCTCTTCCTTCAGCTCCAAATCTAGACGCGTATCCTGCGAACGAATCAACAATGTAAGTTTTGGGTATTTACAACGATTCACACAACATTTGCTCCATTTTCACAATTCACATACTTGAATCAGCCGCGTTGCACATGTGGCGCTGATACTCATGGCTGTACTTAAACACTGAATAGTATCATAAAAGCGTTCGGATATGAAAATGGAAAAGGTTCTTTACAAAAAAAAAAATTAAATTAAATAAAAATAACTAAAAACGGGGCAAAGCTCTGCCCGGCCAGCTATCACGCGGCCCCAGTCAAAACTCTTCTACTTATTCTGATTATTATTATTATTGTTGTTTTTAATTTCTTTTTTTTTTTCGTGGAACTGGTCGGTTTGTAATGAATGTGCGTTTGTCTGTATGCGCGTACTCCAGTTATCGCGCGCCGATGTCGACGTTCATGAAGCCACTGCCCCGGTCACAGTCATCGTCAGCTATCGTCGATCGTCGCTGAAGAAAGCCACAAAGCGCAAAGGCAGAAACGTGTGACGCAAACTCTGCCTCCAGTACAGCCCGATAAAAACATGAGAACCCAAAACAAACAAAGCAAAAACTAAAACAAAGTCGAAGTTCTAATACCCTAAATACCCTCGAAATATACTAATTCATGCTTTCTGTAAAGCTTTATCGAAATTTTTTTCGATTTTAAATCGTAGAGTTCATAAAGTTATCCTTTTCCTAGATCTATATCAAGCTGATCCAGCATAAGTACCTTAAATAGTAGCCAAGAGACTTTTTCTTATCATGCATTACAAATTATATGACAAATTCATATTATTCTCTTAAGAGGGCATAAAAACCTCAACAACTCAACTGAAATCGACTCATACTCAACTGAGGGAAAAACCTTCCTAGAATGCACGAGAAAGAGCATGCGACAGGGTGTGTAGAGCGTGAAGCGTGTAGCATGTTGCATGCATATGGTGTGGGCAGGTAGTTGAGAATTGCCATTGTATACACGTAGTTTACGGGCAGACTGTCTGTCAGTCGGTCAGGCAGGCAGGCGAGCAGACAGTTAGTCAGCCGGTGGCGTGGGTAAACAAGCCGAACGAGTTTTCAAAGAGGCAGGTCTTCAGATACTACCTATACATATGTACATATATCTGTATCTGCCGCAAAATGTTGAATGTGCCACTGGCACAACTGGCAGTGCCACTTGTTGTTGCCAGAGCTGATAATAAAACCGATTTGTATGCTTGCTTGGTTGCGTTTTCATGCTGTCTTGCTCTCGAATTCCAAATGTTTCCTACTTTTATTAGTATGGCCTTCTTTAGCTGATTTCCTTTAGCTAGAATCATGCTAAACGCTACGCAACATTCTCAACTGTTTAGCAACATTTGCTTAGCACTTTAGCAACATTTGTTGGCAACATTTATGCTTACGCGACTAGAGACGGAAGCGATTGTTTGTGATTCACGCACGAAATGTTCGCATGGACTTAGATGTATTTTAATTAGGCTTTTTAAGTAAAAGGCAGTTGCTGCAGATGTTTTGTTTAAAATGAGTTTTATGGACCTTTGCAAATTGTCTCAAGTTAATTAAGCGATCATGCAGACTCTTTTTTATATATTATTATTATATATGCATATCGTATTCGTCTTACTCACCGCAAGTGTTTGTTCGAGCGTGAATTTCTCGGCTTGGAGCACATCTTTTTCGCGTCCGTACCGTTCCTTAGCCTGGCGCTCCTGGCGCGCTGCATCCTGCAGGGCTTGGCACTCGGCATCGAATTTGCGCTGCTTCTTCTCCAGCAAATTGTTTCGTGCATTTTGCTCCTCGAGCAGCATGCGCAAATCATTCATCTCGTTGGTCATCTTTTGAGCCTTGCGTTTCCATTGGCCCACAACCTGACGTTGTTCCTCAACTTCTTCGTAGGCATCGGAAAGCTGAAAGTGTCATGGAAAAGTTATGTTTGTATTATCTAGGTTTGAGATTGAGTGAGCAGACCTTCTTCTCCAATTGCTTCTTAAGCCCGACCAGCTGTTCCAGATCGTGCTCATGTTGCGTCTGTAGTCGGCGCTTCGTGAACTCCAGTTCTCTGGCCACGCGTTCGTACTTCAGTTTGTAAACTCCACCGGCACCCTCTTCGTGCTCGGCATCTTCATCCTCGGAGATGCCATTCAAGTCGGACTTGGCGCATATCAACTCCATTTCCAGTTTCTCACTCATCTCCTGCAGGTTCTTTACTTTCGCCTGGCTCTCCCCGAGCTCCTTTTCGAGCTTTAGGCGTTCGGCAGTCTCCGCTTCCAAGCGTTCGGTGGCAATATGAGCTGTAGAGCGCTCCTCCGCCAGATCAACAGTCAGTTCGGATAACTGCGTCATGAGAAGAGCGAAGAAACGTCATTAGTTTGGCATAAAAATTGAATCTTATAAATATTAAATCATATGAAATTGCTAAACTGTGGTTTTTTAATTCGACAGAAAATCGCCAGTAATTTCTTTGTTTTACGTGCTTAATATTGTTTGCATTTGGCATATTTGTAAACAGTTGAATCGGCCTGCTAAGT